AAGCGCCCCGCCCCCGCCGGGAGACTTTTGAATGCAAACGGATCGGCGGGCAGCCCGCCCCTCGCCCCGCCCCGCGGGATGGCTCTGGGGGGAGCGGCCGTTGCCCTGTAGCCGCCATTTTGCGCCCCTGGGTCGGGCCGGGCCGGCCCGTGGCCGCTAAGGTGCTCTGCGCTCTCACGGGGAAAGGGGACCCCGAAATGCTGCCTTCTCAGCCGCCGCGGTCCCGCCACCCTTCTGGCTGGAAGCGCCTAATTTTGAGGCCGTGCTTGTGAGGCGCCAGCGCGGGCCCTCGGCGCCGCTGCTGCCAGCTTGCCCTGGGCACGCAGAGCTACAGCGCTCCTGAAACGCCTCAGGAAAGCCCGAGGGCTGTTCTGAAGGACAGATCTCACCCAAAAGTTAGGGTTTATTCGTCCGCAGAATGCAGCACCTGGCTTGCAAGCTTTCACCTGCGAAAAGGTGACGTTTTACAGTCTATTAAAAGGAAATTTTTTTCTTAAGCAATTTACATTTCAGTCCAAGTTAACGTATTGCTTTCCAGACACCTTCGAATTTGTCCTCAAGAAGTTGACATTGTATGTGCAGGTGTGATCATGTTACATATTTTAAGGAAATGACATGTAAGGAAAAAGCAGCCAAATAGTTTGGTGGACAGCAATTGACAGTGGAAGTGCAGAGGGAATCTGCAATACAAACAAGGCTGGCAAAAATGCTTCTACCGGCTGCCACACGCATGTGAATGGTAGCCCTTCGCAAGAGTCCTAAATCCTGCTCCTATTATGATTTTATGTGGTACTTGTTAATACATTAGCTGATGAGCACTAAATCAAGTGAATTATTAAATAAATTTATTCCTTCCAACTTAATTAAGTAGTAGATTGACAGAACACCATCCATACCAGCCCTGAAAATCAGACCTGCAGTGGATAGCCATGCTGCAGACATGCAGACCTGCCTGTTGCTTTATTTCTTACTCTGGGGAACCTGCAACTGGCATTAAATGTGCTATGGTGTGGGGAAAACACTTAAGTATCCTTCTCTAATACGTATTCTGTGCTCTGCGCGTGACAAATTCCACAGTTCGAGGGGCCTAAACTTGCTCTTACTAAGTTTACTAAGTTACTTTACTAAGTTTATTAAGCACACTGGTTAGCGAATTAAATTAACAGTCGACAGCTTAAAACCAGAGACCCTTTCCCACGCAGCCCTATTTAAACAGTGGAAATCTTTGCCAGATGATATTGCAGATGTCAATTACTCACGTTTCAAGAAGTGATTGGACAAGTTTGTGGAAGTAAAAAACAAGCAAGGGCCATTAACTGCCAAGACAACACCTTTTGCTCAAGAAGGTCCTGAGCTGCAAATCGGTGGAGAATGGGGAAATACACAAAGTTTGATGCCTACTGGCGCAGCTCTTCCATCTCTTTCCTAGGCATCCCCTGGTGGCTGCTATTTTTTTCCCCAGGAAGAGCACAAACACAGTGCCACCTCCCTCCCTGCCTTGCAGTGATACAGAGGTATTTCTTGCTTTTGGGAGAATAGCAGGGGTCAGTTCGCCGCAGGGCTAGGGACCAGCCTCATTTCAGGAAAGTCACTTTCTTCATCAGGGTATCACCACATAATAGAAGAGGAGTTGGGTTAGCAGGACTTTGGGTCAGTCCTGGCATGGCTATGTTCACTTTGTGAAGGTCACTTTTCACACTCGCCTGGCCATACCAGCAGATCAGCCCTGGGTAGGTGTAACTGGAGGAAAGGCAGGCAGTAGATCTGCATTTCTCAAAGCAGAGCAAACAAGCAGCAGCTCTACTGGAGACATGGGGTTGCCACAATGCCTGCCAGACAGATGCCCTTAGAAATCAAATCCAACTTGATTACAAGCCCCGCAGCTAGAATGAAAGGTGGGGAAGTGCTAAGCTTGGTGCTCCTTTTGTCATAGAATTAATGAGAATGGCCATAAGCATCTAACGCTGCTAGGAGGGGCCATTCCCAAACTCCAGCCCTCCCTCAGTGGCTGCCCACGTAGCTTTCCGCTGCTATGGCAAAGACACGGTAGGTGGCAGAACCATGTCCGCCACCTTTACCTCTTGCACCTGCCTAGACACGTGCCTAAAGCTTGGGCTTTGGAAAGAGAGTGGTGAAATGAAATAAGGAAGAGAAAGCACAGCACAAATTCTGTAAATACCAAGTAGGCTTTTTCCTGGAAAACATCTATATGTCATGATAATACATTTGCTTTCATGTTTTCTTAGGCCATCACAAAGAGAGGCAGCATTATGATCATGTCTCACAAACCTATTCCTATTGTTTAATACGTAGTCAGTTAACAGCATGAGAAGTACATTCCCAACAAGGGGGATGGCTCATTCCATTCAGAACTACAGCCTGCAAACCTTACTAATCTACAAAATCCAGTAGCCTCTCACTGGCTTGTTAGTCATTCTGATGCATTGGCTACCGTCAGCAATCCTGTGCAAGATGTGCCTTGCATCCATTGGAAGGACAACAGCAGGATTTAGTAAGTCGTGGGGAGTTCTTGGCTGTTAGAATTTCTCCTAATACTGTAAGCAAAAACATAACACTGATGAAAGAACAAGTAGCAGGATCCTTGCTATATGCCATAAACACTGCAAATGGAACCCTAGATGGGCTCTTGGGAGGTATCAGATCTAGTTTTTCGCTGTTCCATATGGTGGAATGCTGGAACAGTGGAAGCTGATAGCTTCTTTTACAGGCAATTAGATCCATCAGAAAACCCAGTGAAGAGTCTCTGCCTCCCTTGTTAGCATGTCTTCTATGTTTCCAACTAGCCGCTCAGCAGTGAAACTCAATGCCTAGAACTGTAAAAGGATCATTTAGCTTGAAACTGATAACCCAGCCTGAAGGTGCAGGTTTAACCTCTTCTCTGTGTTGTTTTGTTTTTTTTTTCTTTTAATTTCTGTCAGCTCAGCAGCATTGTTTCTAAGCAACGGGAGAAAGCTGCAGTCCTGCGTGAAGCCATAGCCTAATTTCCCCGGCACACAAACTGAGTGGCAGAGGCAAGAAAGGAAGAGCAACGTCAAGAGGGAATTCCTTCTTATAGATACCTGAAGTCAGAGAGGCTCCAAACCCAGATCCTGAGGGCTATTGCAAGAGTTGACACAGGTAGTGCGTGATTTCTCATGTACATGTATGAGAGAGAGAACAGGGGGACAATATCCAGTAACACAGACAGCTTACTAGGTATGTCATTACTTTGTGTATTTCAGAGCAGAGGAGTGAAGCATGCACTTTGATTTTACAATAAATTGGTGGGCCAGGTGCTGGCTGCTCTCTTTGCTGTGTCCTGTTAGGCCAGCTGTTACCTCATCTCTTCCAGCCTGTCCTCTTCCCAGTCCATCCCCTCTTTGTACCACATAGATCTGATCAATACACACACAGTACGGAGAGCAAGCCATGTACTAAGAAACACAGAAGTGGCATCAGGTCAATAGATTGCATTATATGAGAGAATATCCATCACTGTGATGAGGATGCAAGCAACCTGCAAACTGACACTCAAGATTGATGCTCATCTTAAATGGGCTCATTCTGCCCATTTCCCATTACCAAACTCCTTACCCTCACTTTCAGTACTGTGCATGTTGTTTTCTCTTTCTTGACTAGATTTTTCTCAGCTTCTATTGCAATCTTACCTGGGAAATGGTTTTGGCCAGATTTTTGTAGGGGATCTCCAAGTGTCTCATACTCTTTATCTGTGAATCAGATTTGCTCACTTACAGAGATACTTGGTAGGATGCACTTTTCTCTCTCCTAGGTCCCATTGAGCTTATCTTTCAGTGACAGCTAGAGTATGGAAAGAAAATGCCTGAAGAAACAGATTGAAAAACTCCTGTGAGTAGTAACTGCCTACAACTGCCTTCATTGCATTTGAGATGGACTTGTTTTGATTGCAAAGGGTTGCAATCCTAGCTGGATGACAACTGTAAAACCTTAGTCTTCTCTTGCTGGAAAGTATGAACAGACTTCCTTTGAGATGCTTTTAATTTTCTTACATGCAGTCTGCAGTGTGAGGCCTGACTGCATATGCGACAGTAGAGATGACACAGCCCAGATCTTGCTCTGTGTCAGTGGGAGCGACCAGGGAGGTGCAGCGTTCCTCCCTTGCCATGCAGCCAGCGCCGGTCTCCTAGTTCATACAGCAGTATCTCATGCTCTCGGATGCAGGAGTGCCCAGCAGACAACTCTATACAAGTCCTGTGGCCATCTTCCCTAGCACTATTTGCATGGATGAGTAGTACTTAGTCTGAGGAAAGATTGCAGAATCAGGCCTCCCCTGAATGAGAAGAATGAGCACCAGTGAAGCATCTCTTTCAGTCTCTTGGCTGTACAGTGAAATCCTTTTGTGAGTCCCCAGACTTTAAATACTTGATCTGTATTTGTACCTCCTCCTATATTTTGGAGCCTTTGGGGAAGACAGCAGTGTGGTTTGGGGGTTTGCTAAGATTAGCAGTGATGCAGAAAACCAACAGCTTTCCTACTTAGGAGGTGTCTGTGAGAAATCCTGCAGTAGATTCCTAGCCCTGAATCATATCAAATTTAGCCCCGGTCTTGCACTAGCTTGAGAGTCATCTATTACATTTCTTATGCACTGGGTTGCTTAGAACCAGTTGTAATTTGGAGCTATTTTCTTGTTTTAAGGGGAGATTATGTTGGCATCGGACTACAAGAAAATGAATTTGATCCAAGAGGACAAAGGCAGCCCACCTTTCTAGATGACATGGTAATCACCTGACTTCTTACTTCCTATCCTCTTTAACTGCAGGGCTACAGAGAGCTCTGAAGGGTGGCTGTTTGGTACAGCTGAATAACCTGTTCCTACAATGATCAATAAAAGCCCATTACTAAAATGTGTATCTAAAGAGATTGGCTGTGAATAGCATCCAGGTATAATGTATCCAAGACAACTCAAGTTTTTGCTGATTTTTCAGCAAGACAAAGCTCATCCACAGAGGACATCTGATAAAGTTTAAGTCAACTAACCAAAGGGAATTCTTCACAAACTAAAGTTGTCTGTGCATAACAAAACATCTTTCAGCTAAGCTGAGAAAGTCTTCCTGGGTGTGTTTAAAACCCCTCAAACCTCAGCAAGTGTCTTACAACTGGTGAGCTACCCAGTGTAGTTGAGAAATACTGGGCTCCAGCTCACATTTCCCTGCATTTCTCTGGTCTTTCTGTCATCCCTCAGTCAAGCAATTACAGTAAAAAAAAAAACCACATAAGGTTCTTCTGTCTTTCCAGGTGCATTACAACTTAGCCTTCCGTGTTGCTTTGCTGTGGCTAAGCGGCTTGGATGCTCAGACTGCACTGACAAGAGAGAAAATGTGAGTATTGCAAAGCTAAGGCCCTGCTGTTGCAGTGGGTTACACCAGTGTGAAAATGGAGTAAAAACAGCAGTGAATTGAGCCCAGGACTACTTTTTGCATTTATAACACCAGGCTAATAATCTTCTTGTTCAAAATACCATACAGGAATTTTGCAGCTCGCAACCGATACATGTATCCCAACCGAATTGAGAGAGAAGCTATGATACTATCTTCATATGCTGGAATATTAATGGTAAGAGGGCAAGAAAGATAGCAATATCTTTTGCTCTATGGCACCTGTCTAGAAATGCTCCCTACACTCTGGATGTCTTTGCTCATTGAAAGCACAGTGTACAGACTGCAAATATTACAACTCTCTCTCATTTTTATCAGGTAGCCATTAAGTTTTGCTCAGCCTTAGGAAACAAAATAGGTTGTTTCAGTAGGTGGCCCTGTGCGTGTGTATAGGTTACTTATCTTGTCTCACCCAAGTGCAAAATGGTGAGCAAATTTTCAGGACCAGATCTCAATAGATTCATAGTAGCAGCATGAAACACTACTAGGAGTTCACATGAAAGCTGTTTCAGAGATCAAAGGAAGGGGATATGAGCTGAATTTCACACATTCACTTTAAAGAATACTACTTCTGAGAGCTGAACCTCTCTCTCTTTACCTTCTTCACAGAACAGCATTCCTGTTGAAGAGATCTTTGAGATTTACAACATGAGGCCCTCAGCAACACACTGGCAAAGCTCTGCAAATGTGAGTGATTTGTTGTTTTTTCAGCATCTCTACTAGGGTTCTGAGTGAAGGTCTTTCTTACCTGTAGTGGCCTGGTCCAGCACGTAGTGCATTGGGCCGGCATTCTGAGAATGTGATCCACACGTGGATTATTTCTCTTCTCACTCAGAGTAAACACTGTTGAACTATTCCCTTCTCAGATCTGACGTTATAACTTAAAGCCTTGTGGGTGGCCTTTCAGCATCGTAATGAGGTGTAAAGCCTCCATGTGCAGCTGTAGTTATCCATGGGGTACTTCATCCCTGCTGCTAGTCTCGAGGGTGTGTGTCTGTCAAAGCTGCAGAGTGCAGCACATTTCTTAATTGCTTGCAGATTGTATTGTGTGGGGGTCTATTATTATAGCTACTGTTTATTCCAGCTTTCCCATACTAATAAAGGAAGAGACTTCATTCTATGGAAAACAATCACTACTGTTAGACCAGCAGTGGTTGGGAATATGTGGATGATAGCTGGCAACATCCTACAATAAACTCTCATGTATCTCCTTGTTACAGCAGAATATAAGTGTTCAGGTAGCATTCAAGACCACAAGTTAGGTGCGACAGTGTGAATTTTATCCGAAGTTAGTGCTTTCCTTTGGGATTGTCATCTGGCTGCCAAAGATGTACCTTGTCTGTTGCCAGTCTTCTTCCCCAGTCCACTCAGGTTTCAAACCAGAAATCATCAGGGGACAATAGCTAAGAAAGTGTGCTATAGGTCTGAGAGAAGTCATTCGTCAGAGGAACCAAAGATGTGAAATTTGGCTAGAGACCTTTAACCCTGCAAGACAGAGACTTCTTTCAATACCTCCATGGGGTTTTTTGTAAGCTATTGTAAGCTATACAATTGTAAGCTATTGTATGCTGCTTAGCACAGTGTGCCAATACTGCAGGTCTTAATCTGGGGTTGTGTTTAGGCAGGTTCATACAATCAGTGCTATGTTTACAGAAGCCAATTCTCAGAAGGGCACTCTGACTCTTGCGTAGGCATTATATGACACTGCTCAAGGAGATTCAGTATCTGCATCCTAGGAATCCTTCCTGGGTACCAGTAAAGGATCAGAGATGGCACCCGTGAGAGAGCCTTAAATTCTCCCTTTATTGCAGTGTGAAAAAGAGGAGAAAAAGAAAACAGTGCTAAGCCAATTTTTATTTGCAGTGCATTGCAGTCCTATGGAAGGTGAACACAGATTAAACAGAACAAACCAGCAACTCTCTGACTGCAAGGTCTTCTGTGTTACCCGTGCACCTGCAGGGAAAAGATGTGCTAGAGTCTGGAAGTATCCTTGTGCCAAATCATACAATAATAACAGAAACCTTGCACAAGATTTTGCAATTCAGTTATTGCAGAGACAAGAAATAACATTACCCTGACTTGCAGATTAGATTAGACTGTCTGACTTGGGCAAGTCATTTAATCTCTGTCCTAGTCAATCTGTGGCACAGTCTGGGTCATTATTTGCAGTTAAAAAGCCTCCAGAGAGAAGGAGGCTGTGTTTTCTTGGGCACAGTGCTCTGACAACATGGCCTGCTGTCAGCCAGTACACCAGAGTTGTTTGGGTATAGTCAGCTCTCAAGACAGGCAGCAGAGTGTGTGCCTCCTGCTTCCCTTCATCTGAGATTTCTAAGAGTGTATTTACATAAGCAAAGGAATCCAATACTGTTTAAGACCTTCCAGACAAGTCACATCCCCACTCTTTGGGAATGAAACCTCCATGTGGAATGATCCATCAGGTCTTAGGGAGCTTGTAAGACCTGAGCAGTTTTAGACGTCGGGACAACTTCTGTGTTCCCAGTTCAAACACCTTTCTATTTATATTGGGCATAAATTGCAGGGTTTACTGCTTTCATGCAAGTTCACACATGGGTGCTGTGTTAGGCTTAAGTGGCAGGGTTCAGGCAGCAAGGACTGCAGTGGTGGCCTATATGGGAGGAGACCATGAGCTGCCCTGTGCCAGTCAACCCAGAAACCCACGTAAGCAGCCAAGCATGAGCCCAAACTTCAGCTAGAGGAGCACATGGCACCTCTACTGAAATGTATTTAAGGAAGAGCAGCAGCTACTAGGGAAGGAGACATGAGGACACATGTAAGGAGGCGTGCGGGGTGACTATTAAGAGAGACATGCTCTTAGAAGGAGGCTTCCCCTCCACGCCATGGCCTGCAGGGACAAAAGCACAGAGGAAAAGTAAGAAGTATAGAGCAATGTCAGACAGAAACCATTCGCACACAAGCCCAACCTCCTTTGCTACCCATCACCTCACAGAAGGAATTGGGGCAGACTGAATGTAACCATGAAAAAACAAGGGAAGTTGAGACTAGGCAGGGGAGGAAAGGTGCTTACTATATTTAACTTCTAGAGTTTGACCTCTTGATGCTTCCCTCATTACACCACCACTGGGATCAGAAACCTGTAGCAGCATAATGGCTACTTCTAAAATCCCTGCTTCAACTTTTTAGTCTAAAAAGTCACCCGTTACATGCTAGAATATTTGAATGATGTGCTCGTGGGTTTAGAGGTTTATGAAGGCTTATTGGCACGCCTCTTTCTGGTTTAAATGCCTGGCTGACCACAGACTTCATGGTTCCTTTCTGACCTGCACACTGGCATGGGGCTTTGCCCACCCAAGCAAACAAAGTGCTAGTGCAGGGAAAGCACAGACACATAAAAGCTCTTTGTCGTCAGTAGCTTAGCTTCAGGGAGACGGTTTCGTTCGTCAAAGGGCAGAAGCGGCTTGTTTGACTGTGTCATGCCATTCCTCTAGTGGACCTCTGCTGAAAATTATCCCCAGGCTACCAGAAAAAGAAACTGTGTATTTGGTTCAGGCAAAACTGGATACAGCAGACAAATGTAACTGAGCAACCAAATAGATTAAAAAAAAAAGCCTTCAGTAGACAAAAAGGAGATAGTTACTCCAGCTTGACTGATCAGATCTCATCTTGGCCCTGCAGAGATTTCACCAGTTAAAACTCTTCAATCCTATCCTGCCCTGACACTAACACCTGCACTTAGCCCCAGTCTTAAAGTAGTATCCCATTCCCAAACATAGTTAACAGGCATTCAGCATTGCTAGCATCACACACCTTGCAGAATCTACCCCAAACATTTTGATGTCTTCTGCCCTTTAGGTCTGAGAGAGGCCACCAAAGAAGAGGTACCAGTTCAGTGGTACCAGTGACTCCTAGCTTTGGCCATAGCAATGGTAAGCTATTGGCCCATTCTCCCACCAGCCTACTGCCTAGACTGGTGTGCTATAAGCAACAAAGTGGAAGGAATCTCCTGCTGCATAAAGGTGTAATGCATTTGGATCATATAACATCTGTGCCTTTTAGAAAATGTTACATTTTAAACTGAAGTCATTTGCCCCTTTCACTTTTGCCCCATTAGTAATAGCAAACTAGCTCTAGCCTTCTCTCTTTGAACATAGCAAAAAGCTGAACTATTCACCTCCTCCTCTACCTTACAGCACACCAGGGAGGGGCAAGAAAAGGGCAGTCCAGCTATTCACCACCACACTAAGATGTAACCCAGCTCCTGGGTCTTTGGCATTGAGTTTTACAGAGGAGCGTTCCCACCAGTGTGCTCTAATTACCATTGATGTGGAGTGGGGAAGGAGGCTATGCAGGTCCGAGGAGGTATAGCCTGCTTCACAAGGGCCTTGCCTGTGTTCAGAGCAAGTTTCTCTAGCAGCATATCATTAGTCATGGAAGTGTAATTGCCCTTTAAAAAACAGGGGAGGTATTATAGTTTTTAATTCACGACTTAAGTCACAAGAAAGCATTCTGTATGGCCCAGCTATTGAACGAAAGAGCATTTGTGCTGGAATATGTAGATTTTATTTTCAGTAACACAGACTTTATTGATGTTTCCCAAGCAACCACTGAAAGTTGCTGTGGAATTGCAATCAGACTATAATAAATTATTCACCTGTAATTCACAGTGTTTCTGGTGTGCTTAACTTTTTTTTTTCACCTTGGTCATGCTTAGCTGTAATATTAATGACAGACTGCCACCCGGTGTCGAGAAAGGGCTAGAGCTACACTCCAGCTCACAGCTACATACATCAAACAGCCTTGGCCATAACCTTTCTTAGTTGAATTTTCCCATGTCAAGAACTAGAAATGCCGCTAGATGCCATGTAGGGGCATTTCACAACATGTTAGTTCGAAGGAGGGAATCTTCCCCTCTGCCCCTGGGATAAGTGGGTGGATCAGCTCTCCCTCCTTTTGCTGTGAACATTACACTGTGTATTTTTACTGTCATACTCCTCATGGGCAGGAATCCTTTTCTCTAGGAATTTCCAACCCAGGATATTTTTAGAAATCTCCATTTTGTGTGCACACCATACACTGCAGAGGAGTGATGTCTTCTTGGAAGTTTTCCAGCTACTCACGCTGTTTCCCATGGTGTTTTGGTTTGGGTTTTTTTGGGGGGGCGGAGTAGTGGTTTTTTAGATTTGATTTATATTCTGGTATTATGCAAGCAGAGACAAAGAAAGAACAGAAATAGTCTTTCTGATCATCTCATGTTACTGTGCACTTGCCTAGATCCTGTCCCTAGTGGACTCAGGGATACTTCCTTGATGGTCATGAGGTGGCAAAGTTACAAAATTTTCTGAAGAGGAAGATAAGCCATTGTTATCAGGATCTCCAGTTTCTATTTCAGCAACAACACTGCTTAATTTTAATAATGGGCTTAAGATCATTCCCAGTCTATGAGAAAGGAATGGAAATGCTTTGCTGAATTTGGAAACTAAGGATAATTCATTTTGCAAAGCCCTAATTAGTTTAAGAGGTTAAATCTACTGTTATCATTAACAGTAACTCTTGGAGCACAGCTTATGCCTCCTTAAGAGTCCTAGTCTCAAAGAGCTGGAATCCAGCCCATCTCAAAATTCAATTTCTGTTGACCTCAGGTTTGGTTATCTTTTCTTCCCCCGTGCCCCCCTTCCCGTTTCCCATCAAAATAAAACAGTGGAGATTCCCGTTATCGCCCATCACTTTTGAAGCTTTGGCTTAGATCTCCTTGAAAACCAAGCACTAGCTTTACCAAGATACATAGATACTTAGGGACCCTAAGGCACATCCTAGTGGGATTTAGGATCCAGAAGATTTCTGATTCATGAGAAGGGACATCTTAGCCTGAGATGGATATAATGGTTGTTATCCCAGCTGCTTGCTGCTTCTCAGAGTTTCCTACCCCATTGTCCAGACATTTCAGGAGCTGACATGTGAACAGCTGAGCAGCCGCAGGCTGCATGCCAGGATGTTTTGGCAGATCACAATCCCCAGTCTGCAGCAGTACACACAGGGCTATAAAATGCAGCAGTTCAGCTACTGTGTGGACAACTGAAATGCCTGGGCAGTGGGGATGGGCACTTCAAGAAGGTGAGTGGGCCAAGCATCCAGGACAAAAACTGCCAGCAAAGCTGTGCTCATTTATCCATCAGGACCTCTGAAGCAGTTATCTTACTTTCAGCTGACCACAAAAGAGCATGCTCATTTGGCTTGGCACATAGTTTCTGCAGACATACTAATCTATGAATTGTCCTTCCAGGACCACTGGATTCAGCCTTTCAAGCTCTCCATGCACCCATTTGCCATGCTGACTGCCCCTGAAGCTGCAGAGTATGCCTGGAAGCAAAGTGAGCACAATTCACCCCAGCTCCCACAAGGCCAGGGCAGGGGGACATGGGGCAGCAGCACCTGGCCCAGCAGAGCCACCAAGTTACAGCCTGCTGATCTCCAACAGCTGCACAGGGAAAGGATAGTGTAAACCTTGGTCTATGCCTATTCTCTTGAGGGGAGGGGCGGAGGTACAGGCATTTTCTCATTGTAGCCTAGAAATAGTGTTTAGCTCAGGCTCCTAAGCTCATGACAATTGCGAAAGGGGCATTTTCCTCAAGTTGAGGTAAACAATAAGATTACACATTTCTGATAGGATCAGCCTTCATGTCTCACAATCACTTGTTTGTTCTTAAGCTTGGACTATTACTAGGACTTTTGCAAAGGTCAGTTATGCTGCTGGCCAGTGAAAGAGCCACCCCCCCTTCCCTGCTTCTTCTCCAAGTGCAGCAAAACAGAGTAATTGCAGGGGCATGAGGGAATTTGAAGCTGGAACCCCTTATCTCCAACCATGTACTGCAACTGATCCCATGCAGTAGGTCTGTAAACCAGCCTGGTGGCCCCCTGTAAGCCCAAGATGATGTGAGGCCCTTTCTCGTTCCCAAGGCATCAAGTCCCGGAGAGCAGCAGCGTGTCAAAAGACCAACCCTTGTTCAGCAAGGAGAGCTAAGAAAGACAGCAAGCAACAGGACTCACTCACCAGAGGAAAGCAACACGTTGACAAAGTAGGTCTGAAGAATTCACACAAGCCAGTATAACTGTTTCTGCAACACTACCACTGAATGTCACAGCTAGAGTGGCACCTCAAGCCACCCAGAGCCCACAAAGCCTTTCATGTCTGCCCTGCTCAGCACTCTTTAGCATGAGAAGTTTCATAGTAGCACAAATTTATAATATAGTGTCAATGCTAAATTGTACTTTCACAGCAACTGGCTCCTTGGCAGGAGGTGTCACTCATGAGCTGGAAAGTCGACTCCAGTACTCAACAACTCCAGTAATACTCAACAACTCAACTCCAGTAATACTCAACATATGCATGGAAGGCACCCTTCTGGCTAATATCCCTACAAAACACATTCACTACTATCACTTTTAGGTTAAAAAAACAGGTGAAGACTATTTAAAAAAAAAAAATTAACAAAAAATTGACTCCATAAAGAACCCAGTAATGTCAGATTAGCCTAGCATGTACGTGAATTAGGCTCTGCCTTTCTATTTGTCCATGATTTGCGAAAGCCTATTGTTTGCTGCAGCTCCACTGAGCAGGAGACCTAAGAAAACAGTCATCACAGCAGCAGCAGGGCTGGATTTCGCCAAGTAGAGGGGCTCCCCCACAGCCTCAAGTTCAATGTGCATCACATGTCACACAGCAGGAGGGAAGCTGATCTGCCATGCAGTCCCCATCTCTCTGATGGATTCAGCCCTGCGTGCTGTGCTTGCATTTATTAACATTTGCATCCTGCAGGGAACTACAGAAGCAAAACAATGAATCTCTCCAGAGAAGCCTGGAACAGATTCAAAAGCAAGGAATGCAAAGGAAGCAAAGACATAACAAAGACCCAGACTTCATGTACCTCACTTAGCTGTAGGTGAGCTAACTGATGTCTTCTACCGTAGCTTTGGTAATGCATTTGCAACTTGTGGTTTGGGGTTCTTTTTTTGGTTTTTAAATCTTAGCAGTCATTCCTTCCTTCCCACCCCTCATATCGTGTACCCAAGACTCTGACATTCCCTCCTCTTCCCTTAGCCACTTCTTTCCTGTTTCCCTGACAGTGTGTTGGGAGCTTACATTTTCCCAGTGCATCCCTACTGCTTCTCAACCTACCATGCTGCTTTTACAGAGCCAAAGAGGGGATGCAGCACTTCAGAGGCAGGGAGTACACCCTTCCGCTTGTCCACAGTGCTGTGCAACTCCCACACATGATCCAGAATGAGGCATGAATGAGCTTCCCTGCATGTGACATGAGGGTTGTGCCTCTTAGGACGATCCCATTTTCTTCAGCTCTCCCCTTTAACCATCCTACTTCCTTATTTCCTTAAAGGATTCAGCTAAAGAAAAAGCCTCTCCCTGCAGTGCCAGCGTAGCACTGAAGCCTAACTGTCTTCCATTCCCCGTTCGTAGGTCCCTAATCGTGTGTCTCTGTTAGGTCCATGCTGTGCTGCCCAAGAACACCCCCCATTTCTTAGATGAGCTGTCACAACCTTCATTCTTGTATTAACTCTACCTTGCGATAAGAGTTGGGTGCACATGGTTCTTCTTCCACATCCCTCTGTTCCTCTGGCTGGAAGCCTGGGCACGCAGCATGGGGTGTTTCTATAGGACTCTTTCTAATTAATTCCATAGAAGTTTCAGGGCTCAGTGGGGTAGTAGAAGTGTTCACTGCTGAGAGGTGTGTTTGACACTAACTGCAGGGTAGAAAGCCTCCATTAGAGCTTGTTACATATAAAAATTATAGAAATGAAGATTCCCAGCTACTTCTAGCCAGGGGATAGACATCCATCCAAAGTATGGTCACATATTATGCAGCTGTGTTAACCCATGCCTTGGAGATGGTCCTGTACTCTAATGCAAAATATCTGCTAAAGGAAAAACCAATAAACAGTTGTGAAGCAAAAACATTTTTCTTTTTCTGCCTGCTGATTCTCAGTCACTGACCCTGTTTATGGAGATGCCAAAAGACAGCACTACACAAGAAGGGCTGGGAATGGTTAAACTTAATCAGGGATTCAAAGGATCTTTTAGAAGTCCTCATGGACTCAAAGCTTGCTTTCAACTCACCAGGTGCACAGCTTTTTTTTTTTTTTTTTTAACATAACATCACAAATTTCCTGTTAAAATCAGTCTAAAATGAAACACAGTTGCTGCCCTTTCGATTCTGAGCTGTCTGTGGGGAAAGACCTAACCACAGCTTGGTGCATGCAAAAATTACAGATTAACTGGTGAGTCTTTGTGCTGATATTGATGGGGCTTCTTAGCCATACCATGCATTCCCCCACTTTCCTTTCAAGCCATGTGAGCCAAAATTCAAGGCCTAAGGAAGTCAGATGAGAAGGCTAGAAGGGACTTAAGATCAACAGCAACATCACCCTCCTTACACAGGAACTCTTTAGCCATGACTCTGCAGCATCAGCTGTCTTGGCCTGGTTAGTTCACCCTGCAGGAAGCGGGATTGCTGGAACACACTATCCAATCCCATTTAGCAGTTCCTACCTCTCCTCCATGGCCTGTGTTCACTTCTGGGACAGGCCTGCGCTGTCACATTCAGCTCAGGCTCATTCCTGGAGCTCAGAGCATCCATCAGCTTCTAAACACAGGCTTCTGTTCTTGCAAACAAATTCAGTAGAGCAGTAGGCAGCAGCCAGTGCCAGGACCTGAGCAAATTTCATGCCAGCTCAAACAGCATCAGTCTGACCCCTTAAAAGCCAAAGCAGAGAGAAATTGTACTTTGAAATGAGGTCATTACAAGAGGGGAGGAGGGGATATTGCTGCTGAGCATGTAAGTAGTAGAACAATGGCGACGGGGTGGTTAAGATTAAACAGCTGGAGAGACAGATTAACGTCTCATGACTGATTTTTGCTCACTGACCTGCAATAAAATAAACAGTAAGACTTTAACAAATAGGTGATTAGCTGTGTTATTCCAGCGCTGTCTTTGTGCTGGAATACTTTGCGCTAGAGTACTGCCATGGCCTTCACTTTTCCTTGGCTAATACTTCCTGATTTGTATAGATAAGGCTGGTGGAGTTAAGAGGAGTAAGCAACAGAAATCCTGCTATGCTAATAAGCATAAAAATGGTGTTTCATTTTCAGAGTGCAAGTACCTTCCCCTTCGCTACTCCCCGCCCTGTTGGCTGGCTGGTGTCTGGTTGTCTGTACACAAAAATCAAACCCAGCAGATCAGGTGGTTTGCCGTTCACACATACACATTTTCAGACAGCCAGAATCAAGGAGCTGAAAGGTGCTTGTAGATGTGTGCACAATGGGATTGGTGAATGATAGCCGCCTGCCACCTTAACTGAAATTTCCTCCTTTCCTGAGCTATGTTGTCTCCTGAATAAAAAAAAGGCTTTGCTGTGACCAAACCGATTAGCCAGGACAACTTCAAAATCTTTTCTCAGCTATGCAAAAAGCAATGGACACAGTTCAGAGCTCAGATGAGATGCAGTCACAAATTTGTTCTACAGGACCCAGAAGAGATCTCTGATATGTGCACACTTAGCAACAGTTGTCACGTGCATACAGTTGGTGCCCACCACTGCACTGCAATACTATCCACGGTGGGAAAGGTAAGAGACCATCCTGGATCTCTTCTTTGTAAGTAAGTACTTGAAATCATGTTGTACAGCAAGTGAGGAACTGAACAGGGCATCATCCCCTTTCCCTTTGGCAATTTAAGAGCTGCCCATTGTACCCCAGAGACTGACTCCAGTAGCAGAACTCGTAGTAGCAACTTGGTGCTGCCATTTACAGCCCAGTTTATGACACTGAAATTGGTGATGGTTTCAGCTAACACTCTTGGCCGTGAACAACACAGCAGCTGAGGCACAGACATCCTGCCTGCAGGACCAGGGGTGCTACCTTGTTAAATTGCCCCACACAAGCTTGTGAGTCAGAGCCTTTTGACCGTAGCCAGAGTTACTAGAGCGCTGCCCATGCAAGCAATCCCCAATTTCCCCCTCATTTCTGCTACAGTAATCCTGACTGCAGACATGTCACTACTGATTCTGTAGCTATTCCTGAAAATTGTCTTTTTGGTGAAGAGCTTTTTCCTAGTCGAACATCAGGTGGAAACACCTAGCATCCATCTTGGAATGGCAAAATACCCCTGTTTTGTGCGAGAGACTGGTTTATCTGTAGGACAAAAATAGAACCAATCTGTTTTGAAAAGAATCAATTTTGTCAGGATGGAATCTAACACATTAAGTGCATAGGACTATATATCTTCAAGAGGCAGCCAGCAGCAAGAGCAAATACCAGAGTCAAAGCAATGAGAAATTCAGTTTTATTCAATCTCTCTAAACCAATGTAAAGGATACTGGCTCCACGAGGGGAGTCATGGTTGAAAGATCTAGCATCTCTGCTGCATTTTCTGTATCCAAGAATGGTTAGAGGTGCTCAAAACAGGAACTAGCCCAGGCTGGCTCCGAAAAGGGGTTTGTCTGCAGCAAAGCAAAGTCAGGGAGAACACCAACTGCCAAATCCTGCCGACTGTCACCAGGCCAGATGCTGTTATGGAAGTGATCTGCCAGGTACTTGCACACAGGTATTCCCACTGCCAGTGCTAAACGCATAGTCCCTTTATGTGAAGCAAGTATGTGGTGTGGTTGCCAAAGACATCCAGGGCGAGACTTCATCGCCTTTCATGAGGACTTGCATTAACATCCGCTGCTAAAGAACTCGTGTGCAATCCACGCACCATCACATCATTCATCATCCTGAAAATCTACCCACCAGTTTGGCATACAGTTGGACTCAATCTTAAGGGTCTTTTCCAACCTAAATGATTCTACACACAAGGAATTACACTTTGAAATAGAGTCAGATGTGACATTAAAGCATTGTGACAACTTTGCACTAACTTTCTGTATTGAGTATTTCGTGCATGCTCACACTGCCTGCTGCCAGTTCCATTGAGCCCAGGTCAGCAACCCATCCAGCCTGCAGACAAAGATCAAGGCCTGAACACTCTACTTGCAGTAATAGCAACAATACATCAAGTCAAGTACAATAGTCAAGCAAACATCATGACAAGGAAAT